TACTAAAGTGTGTTAAATTGTGTTAAAACTGGTCGAATGTGACTGCTTTATTTTGTTTTCTACTGGACATCCAGAAATCATGAGACTAAATACAATTATTTTACTCTACTGACATTCATAGTTTTATTTTCTTTGGGTTAATACATCTAAAAGTTCTCTAACAGAGAGCAGAAAAAAATACACACAGTGTCAACGTAATAAAAACAAAATATTTTTCGGATAATATTTTACACATTTTACATATTATCACATTTAATATATTTGATTTGATATATAATAAATATTTCACCTATTTATAATTTTTTTTTATTTTTCACAGTATAAACTATACATAAAAATATATAACTACCTTTATATGATAGGAAATGGGTGAACTGCAAGGGGATGATCATATTTAGGGAAATGTTGCACCAAAACGTTTGCAAACTCTTGATATAAAAGCACCAGTCCAGAACTACCAAATATGCTCATTGTGCGACTAAAAAATTTTCTCCTATAGAATTATGCTGTAAAACAATTTTAGTTTCTAAATTGAATGTTAATTTTTAAGATTACTTATTGTGCTAATTTGCACCACGTTTCTAACCTCCAGTCATCTTTCGACAAATTGTAGAGGATGTTCATTTCATCGTCTTCCTGCAGAAGGCGATATGCAGAGCTCACATGGTGGTTTTCCTGTACGGCACGGTCATTGTATAGTATGGCTGTGTCGGATCTGTAAAACACACATTAGTTCTGTTAAAGGCCATTGATGTATTCGGTTTGCTGAACTGAATGACAATGGTGTTTAACTGCAATAGTACCTGGTCTGTATGTGGAAGTTGTTGGTGGTGCCGGTATGTTCGTAATCATGCACAACAGCGGCAAACAGCATAGCGAAGATCTCCAACTCGGTTAACCAGTGCTGGAAGAAGGGAGATAACAAGAGAAATGCTGTAGCAACAAGAAAAATCCCATTTACACTGAAGCACTTTGATACAGTCTGTTCAATTCTGATTCTTTTGGGTATATTGCAGTTATAATGCCCATTGTGCCAACATGTGAAAGAAAGTCTCTCTCTGCTAATGCTGTAAATTATAGAGGACAGTATTTGAGACCGATTCAAACAAGTAACTCATCTTTTTGAACTATTCATTGAAAGAACCGAGTCATAGGAGTCGAAATCAGACTCCACTGCTCGTCCTGTATATATCTGATTCACCGAAAAGAACCGGCTCTAAAGTGTCATTTGTTCAGAAATCAGACTACACTGGTCACCCAGTATATATTTTTGATCATTTAAAAGAGATGACTCTAAAGAATCATTTGTTCAGGAATCAGACTACACTGATCAGCCTGGATATTTTTCATTCACTAAAAATAACTGGTTACCCTGATTCACTAAAAAGAACCAACTCGTCGTTCACCCAGAAATCAAGACTACACTGCTCGCCTTAAATATTTCTCATTCACTACAAATAACCATCTTAAAAGAGTCATTCGTTTAGGAATCAGACTTAACTGGTCTCCAGTATATTTTTGATTCACTAAAAAGAACCAGCCCAAAAGAGTCATTTGTTCATGAATTAAATACACTGGCTGTGTATGTTTGTTTTAACATGCGGACTGTGAGGAAAACTAGAAAAACAACAGATGGAAATTTCATACGAACAGTAGCAAAAAATGTGCTAAAAATCACTCCAAACACCTTTCATATTCAATGAAAAACACTTCCTTATGAGACAATTTAAAGCCCCATTACGTATTCTCTAATAAATAATATCGTTCTGCTAAACTGAAGATAAGCATGAAGGAAATTAAATCATATTAGTTCATTATTCTTCTGCACATTTATTCTTCTGTGCATATAACAATATTTTATATTAACACTAAATCACCAAAGTGCCAGAATGACAAAAAGAAATCATCAGCTGTGTAAATGCTAGGGGGCAAATAATTAGTCAGAACGCCAGTGTGATGTCCAGACATCACAGAGAGGTTAATGAGCCCACGGCGGGAGTGACAGGAGCGTGTTTTGAGGCGTCGAGGGAGATTAACTTCCTATTGATTGGTATATGAGCAGCATCGTGAAGCGAGAGCAGACCGTTGCACCTACTTCCATTCCAAGAACCCCAACCTCAATAAATACCTCAAGTGCAGTGTCAGGCTTAATAAAACATACTTCACCGGCTCAGTTCAGCAGAAATAACAATAATAAACAACCAAGGGGACTCGATGTACATGATTATTCTACCCAAGCACACATAAACATGCACAAATCCCCAAAGGCAAGGCTGTTGTTTGAATTCACTGGGCCTAGGTCATGATTTTTTTTGCGAAGTAGGTTTCTGGTGGTGCAGTTCTGGACTTACAACCATGCCGGTCTTGAGCAGGAGGTAATGCACTGTCTGGGTGACGTCTGCGGCGTGGATTAGGTTGTGGTAAGGGTTTCTGTGTTTGCTGTAGCCCACCTCCAAGGCCTCCACAAAAGACACCAGAGCAGAAACGGGGATCTGAGGAGACGCACAGAAAGGCCAACACACAGTGTCAAATAGCCAATTGAAGATGAACATCTGGACTGAAGATGAACAAATGTCATTATGATGGATGGTTGAGTCCAAACAGGCAGTAAATGTGATTTCAAAAGTGTAATTTGTAAATGCTGGTAAGTATAAAAATACATTTGGCAGTATAGGTTTCTCAAGGTTAACATATTAGTTAATAAATAGTGACTAGGTTCTATAAAGCAGGGGTTTTCAAACTGTGGTTACCAAGGGGAAAATGGATAAAAATAAATAGTGTTTAAAAAATCTTAATAATAATAATAATAACAATAATTGTAATAAAATGAAATTCAATAGAAATAAAAATAAACTAACAGAAAATGAAATAAATAATGATAAAACAAATTTAAAACTGACCAAATGTGATTTTCCTATTATTATGTACTCAGATCCACAGATAAAGGAAAGGGAGGTAAAAAAAAAAAAACGCATCTTACCTTAAAGCGATTGATTAAGTCATATCTGGTGAGAAGTTCATAAAAAATAAATTTCAGTGCATGATCTCCGCTGGCATCATTCAGTGTGAAGACGTCAAACGACCATGTGTCCACATGCTAGACCAACAACAAAAAACACATCTTTACCATTATTATCAATATAGTTATGAATATTTAAAAAAATATATATTTTTTAAAGTCTCTTATTCTCAAAAAGGCTGAATTTATTTGACCAATATTATAGTAAAATACTAATATTGGCAAACATTTCAGTTTAAAATGACAGTTTTCTATTTGAATATAATTTAAAATGTAATTTATTCCTGTGAGGGCAAAATTGAACAGCATTATATTTGAAATAGAAATATTCTGTAACATTATTAATGTCTTTACTGTAATTTTTTGATTATTTGAATGCGTTATTGCTGAATAAAAGTATTAATTTCAAGAAAAAAATAAATCTTTCTGACTCCACTTTTAAATAGTATTGTACACAGTATGACTGTGGATAACTTTTCGTAACTTCCTATAGAAAAGAAAAATCACAAATAAGATCTCTTTGTATCTTCTGAGCTATGAAAGAGCAACTGAGACTTTATTTTATGACGCCTATAAACGTGACAAGATGTTCACAGTCCCGGAGCCTCACAAATTGCTGCTTTTACATAATGTAGTAATACCAGCCTCATATCTTTTTTTATAACGTATAAATTACTTTCACCTCCCTAATAAACAGGGACTGTGATGAACAATGTGTGATTCTATCATTGTACATTTCAATCCTGAGTCATGAAATGAACATCAGTAATAATACAAGAGATTTGGTCTACGTTATGGCCGCCTGTGGTTTATGTGGTCTCTATTTTTTCTCTCTCTACTCCATCCACTCTCAGTTTGACCCTCTGTTATTTCATCTCATCACTTTCAAAGAAAGTTCTGTGAAGGTTTTTGATTAGTTGGTTGTGATGGACATTTGCAAAATGCTGCATTAAATATTCACATCCTCAGATTGGAATATTTGTCCTGCACTCTGTCTCAGTCACGACTGAGAGCTTTCAGTAGCTTAAGGCTGTATGTGGAGATATATATGCAGATTCTCTGACTGCTGTGAAATCAAGAGAGAGAGGCCAAAATCCTGCTGCAAAGCCACCAGGACATTCAATACAGACCTGCTGCCTCATTTAGAAAACACTCTTACAATCAGATTTGATCCTAAAGTCTGTGTATTTGATCCTATGCTAAAAGTGAGGCATAAACTGAAAATTCAGCTTTGGCATCACTGGAATAACTTACATTTTAAAACAGTAAAATAGAAAACAGTTATTTTTTAACTGTAATAATATATCTCAGTTTTACTGTTTTACTGTATTTTTAATCACACATCTTTATAAATGAGGCTTGAACAATGCAAGAGGTCTTGTGAGGATTAAAAACTCTTTATATAAAATGAAACCTTCATTAGTTTCAGCTTATTAACTTCATTTTCTATTAAGATTAGGTGGACAGAGCCAGGAAATTACTGCTATTGTTTGACAAGAACATCTGTATTAGTATTCTGTTACTTATCCTTCTCACTTACTTTATACATTTACCTGCACATAAAGCAATGAGAAGGAAATTGACTCACTCAAGGGCACACAAGTTATAGGGGACTGCAGGAGATCTCGATTCCATTTCCAAAGTTTGAACCTTGGCCCTTTGTGATCCAGCCTTGAGAAAGGTTCTGTGCTGTGTTGCATGCCGAATTTAAATGGGTTTGGATGTTTACAAATAGTATATGTTAAAAAATAATAATAATAGATGTTTAACCCTAGCATACATGCATAGTGCTCAGCACAACACAGGCTTTGGTAAAGTTTTAATTTTATTTAACATTTAATTTTATTTAAAAATTTCATTTTTACATTTTCTTTTACATCTGAAGTGAACATACTGCACACATTGCTCATTTGGTTAGTAATAGGAGTATATGATATGATATGATATTCAAAACACAGCCTTCCAAGAACATCTTTGACAATCACTTTTAATGCAGACAGCCTGAATTTTTAATCACAATAGGCCACAGAACAAAAGAATATCTTTAAAAGATTGTAAACTTATGACTGAAATGACAAAAGGTAGTAACTCTAAGCCATCCTGCCACAAATTGTTGAAATAAAAAATGAATTAGAAGCTGATAGGAGAACAGATGCGGCTGATAACAGCTCTGAAATGGCATTCTTGATAGAATCACAGCAGATTGCTAGATGTAATAATTTGGACTATAATTTCATGCGGAGAAAAGGATTAAAATCAGCATATTTTGCATTTGGCTAATATAGTAGCCTTCAAAAGTTTCGAGGTTGGTAGTTTTTTTTTAATGTTTGGACAGAATCTCATGCTCACAAAAGCGGCATTTATTTAATCAAAAACAGTAAAAACGGCAATCTTGTGAAAAGTGATTACAATTTAAAGGGTTAGTTCACCCAAAAATTAAAATTAGGCTGCGTTTTACTCACCCCCGAGGCATCCTAGGTGTATATGACTTTCTTCATTCAGACGAATCCAGTCGGAGTTATATTAAAAATTGTCTTTGATCTTTCAAGCTGTTTAATGCCACTCAGCGGGTGTTGCATTGCTTCAGCCCAAAATAATTTAAATAAAAATCGCCCATCCATAAAAAAAGTGTCTCACACGGCTCCGGGGGGTGAACAAAGGCCTCCTGTAGTGAATCGATGCGTTTTTGTAAGAAAAATATCCATATTCAAAACGTAATAATCACTTGAATCTAGCTTGCGCTCACTGTTGTAAACGGAAGCAGTTCCGGGGGAATGACGTATGAGGTCAGCTTTGCGCATGCGCCGTTCAGAAGTAACGCACGCGGAAATGCAGCGGAGAGATCAAAACAAAACAACGGTCAAGAATTAGAAGTAAAACGTTGGTTTTCACGATACTCACCAGCGCATACGCAACGCTGAACTCATACGTCATTCTCCCGGAACTGCTTCTGTGTACAACTGTTGGCACAAGCTAGATTAAAGTGATTATTACGTTTTGAATATGGATATTTATCTTACAAAAACGCATCAATTCGCTACAGAAGGCCTTTGTTCACCCCCCGGAGCCGTGTGAGACACTTTTTTTTATGGATGGGCGATTTTTTCTATTTTTTATGGATGGGCGATTTTTATTTAAGTTCTTTTGGACTGAAGCAATGCAACACCCGCTGAGTGCCATGAAACAGCTTGAAAGATCAAAGACAATTTTTAATATAACTCCGACTGGATTCGTCTGAAAGAAGAAAGTCATATACACCTAGGATGCCTCGGGGATGAGTAAAACACAGCCTAATTTTCATTTTTGGGTGAACTAACCATTTAAAATACCTGCTTTCTATTTGATTTGATTTTAAACTGTAATTTATTCCAGTGATGCAAAGCTGAATTTTCAGCATCATTACTCCAGTCTTCAGAGTCACATGATCCTTCAGAAATCATTCTGATATGTTGATTTGCTGCTCAAGAAACATTTATTATTATCAATGTTGAAAGACGTTATGCTGCTTAATATCTTTGTGGAAACCGTGATACTTTTTTTCAGGATTCTTTGATGCATAAAGTTCAAAATAAATCTTTTGTAACATCATAAATGTCTTTACTACCACTTTTGATCAAGTTAATGCATCTTTGCTGAACAAAAATATTTATTTCTTTCAAATCGTTTTTTTTTAACTGACCCCAAATGTTTTTCTACACACATCAGTGCATAATTTAGATTCTTTCCACATTTAAATAAATCAAGTGTTGTGTGCTTGCGTTAAAAATAAATCTGTGTTGTCCACATATGCTGCATTCTATTAGACAAATATCCCAAAAAGAGGCTAAAAACTTTCTGTCCGGTCTAAACCGTGAGTGTGTGCCAGGTAACCAAGCTGGCCGAGGGAAAAATCAATTGTGCACTTCGGTTGATTAAACAGGGCTGTTTGCTTGGAGACGGTCTGATTTTGCCATCTCCCCCTTGTTGTTTCTCACATAAGCTACTGTGCATTCAAAATGTGTCGCATTCACACATTTCGCATTCATGCCGTGACCAGGTTGTGCATGTGTTTGTGCATATGTGCATTTGAGGTCACAACCTAGAATCTGATAGGCCCGTTCCATTACCTTCAAGGCCGTGATCACGCTGGGCGGATAGCTCAGCCCCACCATGTTGGAGGTCCGTCGGTACATCCTGTCAGAAAGAGATAACACACTCCTGTCAGTGTGTGAGAGCTTCTGGGAAATAAAAAAGAGGGGAAATCCCTTGTTTCACTCCAGATGCCCTTTAACATTAATATTTTAGGAGCATGTAGTGCTGGAAATATGAGACAAGACAGGAACTGCACAGCAGGGTCACAGGTCAGTCCTGATCAATCTATGAGTCAGGCTCTGCTTAAAATGTATCAGCTCTTTATCAGTTCTTTGACGGTTTCCATCTATTACCCGTGGGGTGCCTACAGGGTTTAAATGTGTTTACTTGATACTGTTAGCTTTGGAAAAACCCTCACACACCTTTCCACAAATATCCCTGCTTGCACCGCGTGCACGATGCTGCGAAATCGTGGCTTCTCCTCCGACCGTCTCAACATCAGCCCCATCTGACGTGTGAAAGTTGACGCCAGCCAGTCACGCACTTCTGAGGGAACAGAGTCGGACTGGATGTCACTGAGCTCATCTTCTGTATCCACCAACCGCCTGCAGAAACACACACACACACACACACACACACACACACACACACACACCTGCAAAAACACACACACACACACACACCTGCAGAAACACAGAAACACACACACACACACACATACCTGCAGAAACACACACACAATATATATATATATATATATATATATAAGACATGATTGCTGTCTGAAGACACTAAATGGGTAAGTCATGTCACTTTTGATCACGTCAGATGAAATTTCAGCCAAAACACCTCTGAGCAAAAGTGATGGAAAGAAAAATATAAAAACATACAATTCCACTTCAAAGACAAGGGAAATACAAACATGTTTGATAACCTAAACATACTTACATATGGAAGCCCATTTCACCACAATGAAAATCATGCTTTCATAAACTGACAATATTATAATCCTAAGATAAAAAATCATAACTGCGACAGAAAGTCAAAATTCTATATAATTATGGGATAAAAGAAGAAATTATGAGATAAAAAGTCATAATTGTGACAGTCGAATTTGATATACTGATAGTTATGACATAAATTGTCAAAATTATGACAAATCGACTATGACAAAAAATCAAAATATTGACAGTTAAAATTATGAGATAAAAAGACAATTGTGAGAGTCAAAATTGACATACTAAATGATAATTATGACATAAAAAGCCAAAATGATGACATAAGTCATAATTATGACAAAAAGTCAAAATTGACAGTTAAAATTATGAGATAAAAAGACAATTGTGAGAGTCAAAATTGACATACTAAATGATAATTATGACATAAAAAGCCAAAATGATGACATAAGTCATAATTATGACAAAAAGTCAAAATTGACAGTTAAAATTATGAGATAAAAAGACAATTGTGAGAGTCAAAATTGACATACTAAATGATAATTATGACATAAAAAGCCAAAATGATGACATAAGTCATAATTATGACAAAAAGTCAAAATTGACAGTTAAAATTATGAGATAAAAAGACAATTGTGAGAGTCAAAATTGACATACTAAATGATAATTATGACATAAAAAGCCAAAATGATGACATAAGTCATAATTATGACAAAAAGTCAAAATTGACAGTTAAAATTATGAGATAAAAAGACAATTGTGAGAGTCAAAATTGACATACTAAATGATAATTATGACATAAAAAGCCAAAATGATGACATAAGTCATAATTATGAGATAAAAGACAAAATTATGAGAAGTCATAATTATGACAAAAAGTCAAAATTGACAGTTAAAATTATGAGATAAAAAGACAATTGTGAGAGTCAAAACTGACATACTAAATGATAATTATGATATAAAAAGCCAAAATTATGACACAAGTCATAATTATGAGATAAAAGACAAAATTATGACAAGTCATAATTATGACAAAAAGTCAAAATTGATAGTTAAAATTATAAGATAAAAAGACAATTGTGAGCATCAAAACTGTCAAACTAAATGATAATTACGACATAAGTCACAATTATGAGATAAAAAACAAAATGATGACGTCAAAATTATGACAAAAAGTCTAAATTTACCATCAATATTTTTGTCATATGTCACATGGTGCTGCGAGTGGAACTCAATTAGTTTGATTCATGATTCTGCTTCATGTCGAAAAGAGCGAGGGAGGATATCAAGACTTTCTGTTAATTAATTTGGTCTGTTCTTCTTATAAAGTTATCACATGGGAAACACAATATGATACACAAACTTCTATAGACTATATTAATGATATTTCTATGGCATTTTGCATCCATTTTGATACAATTAAAAAAAAAAAGTGCATAGAAAACAACAACAACAACAACAATAGGTAGATTCAGTAAAAATGTTCCTTTTGTGTTTCTTGGAAAAAGTAAATCAAACAGGTTTGGAAAAACATGAGGGTGAGTGAATGATGCAAAATTTGCATTTAATTCGATAAGTGACACATTTCCTTCTCAGATGGTTGCCAATGTTTCCATTTCTTTCTAAACAACTGAATTAAAGCACATCAAATGCTGTGGCACTCATGCCAGTGAGGAGACAGCATTACAGAACACATGCAATCCCTCTTCCATTTGCATTTTTATTTCAAATAGAGCTTTAAGAACAGCTTTAGAGATTAAACACACTCTAGGAACAACACATACCTCTGACCTCAAATTTGTTGATTTAATATTCGCCAAAAGAAAAAGAGAGGGAGAAATTCAGTATGTATGTGTTGTGCTTACCTCGTTTCTTCAATGTAGACAGATTCCAAAACGGATGCAGCATATTCTAGGTTTTTCTTCAAGTCGACAACAGAAGCCTCACCTCTCTCCAACTGTTTCACCAAACATCTCAGCCTGAATGAAAAAAAAAAAAGAACGGAATTTGATTAGGAAAAAAGTTATTTTTGGATTTAATGGGCCTTTTGTCTTTTCTCCAGGACAGTGGAGAAAAGATCAAATAAAATATATTCAAACCAAGTCTTGCTGTAAACAGGATTAAATTCTGACACACTCAAGGCATTAAGAAACTATTTACATTTTCGAAGGAAAACAATTGCTTAAAGCAAAAGTTTTGAGGCAAGTTAAAGTTTTCTTTAAAAGTCAGCTTGAAGCCCATGTGTGCTGTACATTTGCTGGTGGTTTGTAGCTGCCAAATACATTTTACACAAAGCAAACAGATTCATCCATCATCTTTACTGCAAAAGATGATAAAAGCTATCTATGTTGCTGACCGTCTCCAGATTCTTTTCACTACTGAGAAATAAACTAATCTGTTCTGTGTTGATTTTGACAAAGAGTTCAGCTGTTATCTGAACAGACTGAATGTTTATTATAATAAACATAGTTCCAGTCTTGAATGCCGAGTTCCAACAGTGCTAAAATCCACAATATAATAATAGCCATGCAGTGAAAACCTGCTTTGTCTTAGTTTAATGTCTCCTTGCTAACTTAGGCAAACACATATTAAACTTTTTAAGAAGTGTTTTCTTTTTTTCCTTTGGATCCCAACTGGTGCCCCCAAAAAATATTAGCATCATGAAGTCTCTGGCACCATGGCTATAATTCAGTGAACAGTCTGCATTGCTGATTTGTTTATGAGCCACATATAGCATCTCTGAAGTTAACTATGTTCACTCATGTGGACAGAGGACCACATCAAAAGGCCAAACGTCCCAGGTGTGAGCAGCATAGAGAGGTTTTTCTGTGTGGGTCTGGGTGATGAGGTGCGTGTTTGCATGAATGGAGAACACAATTCCCATCCCAAATGACTGGACCACGCGAGCCAGAGCAGCATGCAGGGACGAGACAGAGTGAAATCATGCAGTCAATCTACTGTGGAAATGTAAAAGAAGATATTTAGCAAAATATAAGAATATATTTCGCAAGCATGTTTAGAAGAATGTTGGTTTGAACCGTTTCAGTTCCTACTGACTTCTACTATATGGACAAAATGTACAATGAAAGTCAATGGGAACCACAACTGTTTGGTTATAAACATTCTTCAAAATATTTTCTTTTGTGTTCTGCAAAAGAAAGAACTGCATACAGGTTTGGAACAACATGAGGCCAAGTGATGACAGAATTTTAATTTTTGGGTAGACTATCCCTTTAAATTCACAGTTCTGATCAAACTTTATGGTCTGTTTCAAAAAAATAGTATGGTTCGCCTGTAAATGTCCCCCTAAAAACATGGTAATACCATGGTACATGTTCAAAAATCATGTTAAAACAACAATAATAATAATTGAAAAAAATATAATTTTTTGCAAGTAAACACTGTCTTGATACGACCACAGATTTTGTAAAAATAAAATAAAATAAAATAAATAATAAAATAAAATAATAATAAAATAAGTAAAATTAAATAACTAGAAAAAAACAGTATTGTTAGAATACTGTTGTTAGAAGAGAATACTGACTCAATCAGTTGATATCTGAACAACTAAAAGCACTTAATTTGATTCTTTACTTTTTTATTTTAATATTGTTTATTACATTGAAGCAGTCTTTATTTATTTGAGAAATAAACTTTTTCCTATAAAATTAGCATTAAGAAATGTGATAAAAAATAAAATAAAATAAAAATAGTTCTGTGGCATAATAAAAAAATTGAATTATAAAAAATAAACGGTCAGTTTGGGAGTAGCTGCACATTTAGTCCATTTCTACAAAAAACGACAACTAGTGACACTCCTCTCAATGGTCTCTTGTCCTCTATCTTCAAGTGGTCAACAGCTGTGTTATTTGAATGAAGTGCTCTCGTTCAGCTGAAAAGCATGACGTTGGAAACAGGGTCGAGAACACGCTGTTTGAACAATGTTATCAAGACAGGCGAAGCGGAGCAGAAACACATTCCGCTGGCGTCCCCAAGGAATCCCCTCCTTCAGATAAACACGCAACCGATGCCGCAAGTCAATGCCATCCCATTAGAGGATTAGCACTTCCTAGAATCTGTCCGGAGCAGAAATTATAAGAGCTAAAATTCTTTAGACGTGTGCGTCCGCTCAGCCACGACTGCACAATGTATGACCTTTCTAATACAGAGAAAGAGCCAGATTAGATGCTTAAGATTAGACCATTAAACCACGCCTTCCGTCTCAGATTGGGACCGGATCGGATTTAGACAGCATGTTTCAAATAAAGGTCTTGTGGGCTAAAAGAATTGAGGAGCGTAAATGTGTTTTAGTCATGATTGCTGAGCTTGGTAATGTCTGTGAAGAGGAAATGGCAAAGCCGAAATGCATCAACATGTTGCAATTTCCTCGAGCTGAATTCTACAGGGAAATTCATTTTTAATGTCCATCTAACAGACAGAGGTCAACAGGGAACTGCTTTCATTGATTGTGTGTGTGTGTTTTTTTCTTAAAATGGCATGTGTTGTTGATAAGGATGGATTGTGATGTCAGCATGTCCTGGGCACCCACCAAAACAACATTTTCTACTGCATAGTTCGTGTAAACTATATTAATAGTATGGCAATTTCACATTGTTTTTTTTTTTATTTTATTAAACGTAAACATAAATTATTTTTGGGTAAATATTCAAAGGCCCATACTTTAATCCGTCTATGCTTATTGATTGTCTATGACATTTTCTGAGAACCGCGAATCTCTTAGAAACTGGAAGACTTTTTCATGGAGTTTGACTTTTGCAGAGCAGATAAACTCCAGCCTAAGGGGTTAATACTGCAATCTTGTGAAGAAAGACATCTAAGCCAGAGTCTATAGCTCTGTTATAATATATATATATATATATATACACACACACACACACACACACACACAAACAAATGCATTAACTTGCACAAACTACGTACCCAAAAATCAACACATCCCCTCTTCCTTTCCACCCTCCCCCACAATCTGAGAGATTTCCATCTTTCTCTCTCCACAGAAGGTCAGTGGACGGACTGTTTTAAGGTCAGTCATTGAAGACCTGTACCATTATCACATTTTACGGACTTCTAGAAAATACACAAAAGCTTCTGGACATCTGAGGACACAAGATTCGCTTGAGTTTATGTATCACTGAACTGGCAGACGTTCCCTACACTAAACACAATCTCTGGTTGGTTAGTTTGACAGTCTGGCTTTCAGATTGAGGTTCTGTTCCAAAATCTTATGAGTTGCCTTAATATCTACAGACTTCTTCATTGAAATAGACACATGTATCTGACCGATTTGGACATGGGAAGTAACTCATACATTAGTGCTTTATACAAATAATGCTTGATGAGAAATCAACTCACAATTGATGTCAATAAAGTTTGATGTTAGCATATTCCAAACAACAATACTGTATTTACGTAATCCAAAGGAACTTTGCATGCATTCAAGGAATACATTTTTAGCGGTTTATGCATTCCCTGGCTTGGGAATTGAACCCTTGACCTTGGCAAAGCTTTCGCTATATATGATCTACTTTTGAAGTTGGATAATATATATAGTATATAAATATAAAAATGTAAATAATACAATAATAAATACAAAATTAAGGATAAAATATAAATAGAATAAAAACTGATTTGATTGAGAAATACTGTACAAATTTAACACAAATACTATATATAAAAAGAATACAAAAAATGGGCTGAACAAAATAGAGGAAAAATGTATAAAAAATAAATAAATAGAAATAATAAACTAAAAATAAAGTTCTAAAGATATATGCTTGGCCAAATAGAGGAAAAAAAGAAGAACAAAAATAGATTTGCTTGAAAAAATGGAGGAATTTTGTTTTTAATATACTTGACAAAATAGAGGAAAAATAAATAAATACATAAATAAATAAAGAGAATAGAAAAATATTTGCTTGACCAAACAGAGAAAAATATATAAATAGAATAAAAGAAAAAATGCAAAAAAAACCAAAAAAAAAACCTACAAAATCTCAGAGAATTGAAATCTTCACTACAATCGTGTGAATTCTGTTTTCTTGGAGCGGGATTGTGCAAAGTTGTCAGTCTTGCACAGAACAGCATGTCTGTGTGATACAGCATGAAGCGTTAGTTGTTGTTGTACAGTGATGGGGTTATACAGTCATGTTTGCTGTCATTAGTTTTTTTCTCATGGGGCTCTGAATGAGCGTGTTTGTGCTGAGTGGACTGTTTGCTTGAAAAAATGGAGGAATTTTGTTTTTAATATACTTGACAACATAGAGGAAAAATAAATAAATAAATAAATAAATAAATAAAGAGAATAGAAAAATATTTGCTTGACCAAACAGAGAAAAATATATAAATAGAATAAAAGAAAAAATGCAAAAAAAACCAAAAAAAAAACCTACAAAATCTCAGAGAATTGAAATCTTCACTACAATCGTGTGAATTCTGTTTTCTTGGAGCGGGATTGTGCAAAGTTGTCAGTCTTGCACAGAACAGCATGTCTGTGTGATACAGCATGAAGCGTTAGTTGTTGTTGTACAGTGATGGGGTTATACAGTCATGTTTGCTGTCATTAGTTTTTTTCTCATGGGGCTCTGAATGAGCGTGTTTGTGCTGAGTGGACTGTTTACTGTAACCTTGACGGAGCTGGTGAGCTCAAACTCTGTGATGCTGAGCATCACGTGCCTCCCTCGAGTTCCGGCACCGCGGAGGTTGCCAGGGTGATTTGCGATGCGTCAATCGACTGGCACATGTAGCCTGAAACATATGTGGCATTCACGGGGGGCCCAAATGCCTTCCTTCCGCGTAGTGGGAGACTGGACCACAAGGATATGCTGGTAATCATGTCCTAAACAATCAGTGCCTAAATCTCCATCTGGATGTGGTTTCAGAAAGGAAGACGGGTCAGCACCCCGATTTCCCATTAGTTCTTGAATTCTGACTCACAACCGGAGGCCCACAGGGACAATTACTCGA